CAAAGTAAAATCTTAGCGTGTCATGTGTTTTTATCCAGCCTTTTTACTCTGATACCCTGTGTTAAAAATAAAAACAGGCTAACCAACTGCCTTGTAAGTGAAAGAGTTACTAAACAGAAGTTATATGTGGGTCGCTTAATCTCTGTATAAATACAGTCGTTCTGAAAGGCTTTAGAAGTTTGTTTGATAATGTGAAAGATTAAACAGTATCTTAAATATGCAGAAACACAATAAATAGTTTGGTGATAAAGTTTAAAGAAGAGTTAGAAGAGGAAACTATAACCCAAGCTTTGAACATCATATAAAGCAAGGTTGTTATATCTTCTAGAAGTGGAGAGAGTATAGACCATTTGACAACTCTTAAAACTTGGCCTTCCAGCCACATGGAACGTTTGGAGAAGCTGCAAATATTCAGAGCTCCTGTAGGAGATTATCTGCACAGAGAACAATTAGGCATGCACTCCACCAATCTAGCCTTACTGGAATTATGGCAGGATGAAAACTATTGTTAAAGGAAACCTATTTAAAGCCCAGTTTGTAGTTTGCTGCAAACCATGTAGGGGACGCTGTTTCAAGGATTTCTGTTTAAATGCCAAGAAAATAACATTACAATCACAATTCTTGTTACCAGCATTATGCTATAGAGATGTTTTTTGTTCAACAGGGACAGAGAATCTTGTCAAAGTAGATGAGAAAACTGGTGAGCTATATGTAGGGCATCCTGAAAGAAAATGTGTGTTGTAGGCTGAAAAAGACAGACTGGGACTTAACATACAGCCAGATCTACAACGCTAGATTTCAGATCATAGGACATCTTGTTCTAAACATCTTCCAACCAATCAAGTGAAGACCTAAATGTATTTTTTTCTAAAAAATAAAAAACAAGGTTGTGGTTGTAACACTAGAAAAAGAGGATAATGTTTAACTATGGTGTTGATGTGACAAATGGCATAAAAATGGAAATGCTGGAATTAACATGCCAGTTAAAAATGTTTAATATAAAGATAAATAGTTCACTATTTGCATTCAATACATGGTAAAACACCATATTTATAAAACAGCTGTTTCTAAAATTGTTAGCATTACTGATAATGTAAAACGAAATAGTGTTTGAATTCATTTATGGGGGGAAAAAAAACATAAATAAATGTTTTTTTGTTTTTTTTCTCACTAAGTGAAGTCTTTGGCAAATATACACCAAGGACAGACTTCCAGTAAAATAAAACAACCCTAACATCCACATTTTAGATTAACTTGTATTTCTATGTTACATACATCTATGATTGTTGATGTATAGCTTAAAGAAGGCCTGGATGGCTTGTTTGGTTGGATTGTCTGGAGAAAAATCATGTCTCTACTTACTTTAGGCATAAAACATACAATACACACAAAATCAGGAAACACCAATTTTAAGATAAACAAACAATGAAGTGTATAAAATGTTGCATTGTGCCCACACAGCCTGTCAAAGCAGCAAAAATAAAGACATTTAAGAAATGTAATTGCCTCATAGCTCCATGTGACACGAGTCAGGTTTTCACACACTAGCGATTACATAGCTCCTCTTTATGCTTTCTCAAATAAGTTTGGACTTGGCTAAATATAAATCCTATGATGAATTCTAATCTGCTGTTTTACTTCATTTGTCCGTAATGGAGCAGTCTTGTTTTTAAACAACTTCCAGAAACCTGAGTTTGCATCTCTTACTTGCTGCACAAGTTAAACATAGAGAAGCATAGTTATTTATTTTTATTTTAATTATTAGTGGCCTTTTAATTTTTAGTGGCCTACATTGTTTTTGCAGTTTATTTATATATGGTGGTTAAGAGGAACTGGTGGAGATAACTCCAGCTGTTTGGAGCGTAATCCGCTGTAAATCTGACTGTTGCTCCTTCCTTCTTGAGAAAAGGTTGAGGACAGTGCAATCCGCCGAAAAAGACAACTTTCTAATTTGTATATGTTAATCATGATGATATGAAATGTAATGCAACTCTACTACAAGACGATGAAATATTGTTGAGTTTCAAAACTATAATGTATTTGAACTTGCATTATCATTTAATCACATCAAACAGTTAACTGAGTGAAAAGCTTGAGAAATAACATAAATAAATGTTTCACTCAGGCAGAGCATTGATGTGTTACTGCATCTATCATCCATTTTCAGCGTGAACAATCATTCTTCAATGTAAATAAAATCAAGAAGCTGTGGGCTTTGGTCTCTAATAAACTATATTTATTCAACCATACACTAATGCATTTGTAAGTGAATTATCTAATATAGGAACAATATTAACTTGTTATATATTTTCTATTTAATCTCACTTGGAAAACCCTGAACTCTGCCTTTAATAATTGTTTAGGGTAGAAGGGTGATGTTTTATTTCGTTTTTTGCTCATTTCAGACCAGAGTATTCAAGAACTCCAACACAGCACTCATCTACTTCCAACTCATTCCCCAGACAAGAAACATGTTTGTAGGCATAAAAACGAACCAATTAATTGTAAGTCCATAATGATGATAATTTATACTGTGAATGATCTTAGTGAGGTCATATTCTGCTTGATTTCTTATTAATTCCTCTTCCCACTGCGAAGGATTTTATTACTGCTTTCAATGAGGTAGATTTAACTTCTACAGCCGTGTGTTGGCAGCCTGATTACAGTTATTATTTTTAATAAAAGGTATTGGCCCTGGAATCATTTGGTCTTGTCCCGTGAATAGCTGGTTGCGCATGGCTAAGCTGTTCTCTATTGGGCTGCATAAACATTAATATCTGAAACACTTTAGGCAGCAGTCTGACCGAGGCCCCTTCTTTTCTATACAAAATGCAATCTGCTTCCAATCAGAGCTGACACCACTGTTTACTGCCTGACAGTCCTGCCAAACAGTACACAGCTCATGGTATGCAAGACAGTGAAAGATAGTGGCAGGCTCAGCCTAGACACTCAACAGGATGGAGTGACGCATTTCAGGGAAAGAAAATCTGTAGTGTGAGTAAGGATATATTCTGCTAGCTTTTCACAGAGGAAAGAGAGGGCTATCTCAGCTCCATCAGGACTGCTCACTCTTTCCCCAAATTAATTGAATGTCAGTCAAAAGGGAAAGTGAAACCGAGGTGAGAATGTGACTCATACCTTTGTATTAGAGTAGAGGTGGAAGATGGGCAGACGGGATTTAAAATTCAAACCTTTAAAGCTCAGGAGAATTCACTTAAGAAGTGAGGTGCCACCTAAATTTGGTTGTAAATATAAATTGATGTGTGGTCAAAAACTAAAACCTCAACTGAGATGCTCATACAACAAAGCCGGCTTTAAAGAGCATGGGCAAATAAGATTAGATTTTCTGATCCAAATTACTTGATATTTTCTGAATCACTCTATCAGTAACAACTTTGTAGAATGAAATCTTTGTAGGATTCAGTCATTAGCCATTTATTTTGCTTAAATTCCACACTAATGGACAAAGTTATTACCTGAGTAAAATTTGTTACACACTGTTGGACTTTGTGGCAAAGACAAATAATTTATAATAAAACTCAGCTATACACACAACACTGTGAAGGGATCAGATGACGAAAGACATTAAACATGATAAAGCTTAAAAAACAAAAACATTATTAACTCAGGGCAGACCTAATGCTGTTGTGTTGTATTATTATTTTTATATAAGAACAGAAATGTTTATATTAGTGAGAAAAAACACATCATTAAGTCGCTTCTTTAAAATAGGAAGGACAGTGTAATGCTACCAAACCTTTGCAAACTTTATAGTTAATTACATAACAAAATATATTAGAAATTTAATCAGTGGAATTATTTTTTTGGAAATAAAGCATAAAACATTAGGAAAAGAAACCCATTTCTGACTTGCAGTTTGATCTTTACCAATAATCATGAGTAAGGATCAATTTCAATATCATATGAATTAAAGTGAAAATCATGATGTGAAATTTCTTCTTAAATTCGGAGAAGCTTTTCAAACCACTTGGCACCATGAAAAAATATAATCAACACATTTGAAATTCAGTAGTACTTTTAAAACAATCGGTTGTTATGCAAGCTAATTAATGGTTAAAAAACATGTTTTGGATTTGGGGAAAAACACGAGGGCTGTTAACGACCAAAGGAAAAAACATGGAACACTTTAAAACCTTTATAATACAGACTGGTTGACGAGAAAGACCCAACGAGTTCATTGATATCTTATCCAGGACAAAGGAATCAAGAAACTCTAAGGCAGAGCAGGTCTTATTTGTTTCAGTTTAAGTCATTGTCATGATCTGACAACAAAAACAGACTGGTAAAAAATGGGATTAATGGGGGAGTTCCAATGCAAAAACTAATGCAGACCCAAAATAACAACCAAAAAGAAGTCCAGTTCAATTATTGATATCTACTGGTAATGATAAATAACCGAGGGAACCAGAAATTCTGTTCTATTTAGTTTTTAAAAAGCAAGAAGTATAAAATAATTTTGATGTGGAAATAAAGAATAGCCTACATAAGAGAGGAACCTGAGGAATATAGAGAGTTTGAGCAGAGAGGAATAATCTAAGATCCCTCTCTTTATGCTTAAATCCAGTGAAATGGTTCAGTAAAGAAGACTATAGAAGCTCCTCCACAGCTGGAGGCCCCCCATTTTCTTTTGTCTAAACCATTTTAGCACCATACAGACCAAATTACAATTAGGATTTTAATTTCTTTTCTAGAATGATTCTGCTCTGTTATTAAATAGCAATAAAAACATGTATTATGAGCACATTACATAGAATAGAAAGGAACATTTTAAGGGTTTACATTATTCTGTGAAATTTGTTGTCTTTCTTCCAGCCCACTTTTTTGCCACCTCAGACTCTTTGTATGTTTTGTATTTCGTAGCACGTGGGTGAAGAAGTATGTCAAAATGAAAATGAAACTTAACACAAAAAGTCTTACATTTAAACTGCCAACAAATTAACATAAAAGGAGATTAAATTAAGAAAGAAATCCAATCCTACCCTCTGTCTCCATCGTGTCATTTGGTGGTTCTTCATTGTTTTTTTCTTTAGGTTGCTCTGGCTCTGCTGGAAACAAAGAAAATATGTTGTCAAATTTGTGACGTGTGCATCACATCAGCTCAAGCCTTCAAAGAACAGCTAAACCATCTGTTTGTTTTAGTAGATCATCTGTTAGGTGCCCTGAAGAAAGAAGCAAATATTGTAATACTGGTATCTGGTTTTCCAAAGCTCCAGTTGGAAGTATACCTTTGTTCTCATCGTTATCTTTGCTGGATTCTTTGTCTTTATCGCCGCCTTCTTTGCTGTCGGTGGACATATTCTGGTCTTCATCATGCTTTACTTGGTCATCCACATTTTGGTTTTCCTCCGGATCCATATTAGTAGGATTTTCCTCTAGGGGACGAATACATAGGAATAATAAATAAATAAAAGAACGGAGTTTTAATTATTGGAATGATAGATAAATACTGTAAAAAGAAGCAAGTATTAATGATTAAATCAGGCTTGCCAGTGTTAAAACTTTCACATAAAATCTTTCAACATGTGACAGAACCCCAAGCTCACACTCCATTAATGCTGACATATCCCTCTGACACACTTTTACAGAAACATTGTGCTTTTTTTTGTTAAAATAGAGGTTGATGTACAAGAAAAAAAAAAAGTCCTTGCAGCAGGATTACATGTTTTAAAAGTCAGTGTTCTTGCATCAACTGCTGTAATATCAGTAAAGGGTTAAATCAGTTACAGGTTATACAAAGCAAAAACAATTTGAAAGTAAGGAAACATTTCTTAAAATGAGTGTTTTCCCTTATTGTGAGTAGGTAAAATATGGTTAAGGTGCTCAGTCCAAGTTTGGAAAGCTAAAGCAGGTTGACAACAACTGAAAAACTACAAAGACATGGCTGTCTACCTAATGCTACAAGCTGGTAAAGGAGGATAAGGGAGAATCTACCAAGATGTCCACATTAGCTCTGAAAGAGCTAAAGAAATCACCAGTTCAGGAAAAGGAATCCATAGACAGGGCATGCATTTGCTGTAAAGACAGATTATACCAAATACAGGGCAGTCATGCACCACATGCCAAGGAACAATGAATTAAGATTTGTAATGATCCAAATCTTGTGTGCTTGTAACCTATAGGTGTACAGTAAGTCACAATATAGGGCAAAATGTGCTGCTTAGCAGAGGTCTGTGCTCTCACAGGGCTCTTTTAGCTTTAATAGAATTGAATATTTCACCTTGTAGCAGGGCAACAACCCTGAACATACAACCTTAGCTAAACTTGGATATTGATATTGATATGTTAAAATGGCTCAGTCCAAGTTAGGACCAAAATTGCAGAGACAGGTGATTCTACCAATCACTGACTGTCAGAAATACAATTGCATATAACAATTTACGGATACGCATTTTTGGTTTTAGGATATGTAGCACCTTAGCTGCAACTAATGATTAATTCTCAAATCAATTAATCTGTCGATATTTTTTTATTTTAGTTAATCAATTACTAATCAAGTATCGGTAGCCAAAAGTTTCTTAAAGAAGACTTTTTACAAAATTAACCCAATTAAAACTAAAACTTTCTTACTTTCAGAGTTCTGGATAGATCATATTGATACAGATTTCTTTTTATTTTTTTTTATCTTAAATGCAAAATATATATATATTTTTTCCATCTTGACATTATTACTGGTCTAAGTGGGTTGCACTGTCAGCTACAGGCATGTTTTAAAAGTCTCTATACTCCGGTTAATGATTAATCGATTACTAAGTCAGTGTTTCCTGGACGGGGCAGACTTTTACAGTTTCCTTTTCTATCTCTGCTTCTTACTCGTTGAACCCCAGTCGGCCTCGGCAGATGGCCACTCCTGTTAAAAAGGAGTTTTTCCTCTCTGCTGTCGCTACAAGCATGCTTAGTTTGAGAGATTGGCTTCGAGTCAATGAGTCGATGCAATCAACTGGTTTTCCCTAGAAAACTTTGAATTTATTTGACGATGATCTGGTATGATCAGGTGAACTGAAAGTGCCTTAAGATGACATGTGTTGTGAATTGGTGGTATATAAATCAAATTAATTGAATTGACAATTATTTCAAGAATGAATTTATCATGATTATTCAGTTTCAGACAGAATGAAAAATACCAAATAAAAAGTAGAGGCTCAAATGACACAAAATGTTTTAAAAGTAGAAAGGGAATAGTTATCTTCTTAAAAACACTATATATAGAAATTTCAGTTAAATTATTCCGCTGGTCTTTTTTGCTCTTAACTCCCTGTTTGTGTCTCATGAGAAGGTAATTACACATCCTAGATATTGGATCGCATCCCGGGGCGGCATTTGCTAAAACTTGCTCACAGAATGCCTCCAAAATTCATGCAGAGAGAATCTCTATCTGTCAAATCACTGTCAATGGCATGGGATTTGAATAAAACAAAAACAGACGAGATATGAGGCACTGCTCGCTGCCAGTATGCAAATGCCGAATCTTAATTATATACCAGCAGCACAGAGGATATTCGCAAAAAGAAAACGGTTCTGGCTCAAAGTTAATGTTGAATATGTGCCAAAAGAAAAATACACAGATAAACTTATATACTTACTGCCCTCACTAACAGCTTCTAGTGTAAGTGCAATAAATAACAAATGAGCTTTGCAATGTTCTACACTGATCTATTTGGGGATTTGCATTATGATCACACTTTATTTTTTTCATTCTAACTAAACTATGCAATAGCTTTATAGTTCACGCTAAATAAGCCTAAAAGAAAAGAAAGAAAAACGGAAAGAAACACCAAATAAATTTGCCCTGTCTCAGCTTCCAAAAGAGAAACAAAGCATTTCCACATGCTAATTTAGGGTGTGATAGGTAGTGAGGTGGAAATCTACACTCAAGATGATCACATTTAATCAAACCCTCCGTTTATCCTGGAAATTGAAATCCAAAGTGTGCTATACCTGTTTGACTCTCCATCTCTACATCTTGCTGTCCTACAAAACAGAAAGAGAATTCAAGTGAAGAGAAAACATTCATGCTGGAGAATGGAAAGCCGAGTCGAAATGACTCGGTTTTCTATATCACCTCAAAAAGCCTTTTTCATTCTAACTCTTTGTACAGCTTTGTCTTTGTACTGCAGTATGAGAGCAATGGAACCACAAAGACATGCATAAATTAAGAGACAAAAAAAGGAAAAGAGAAAGAATGTCACTTCTAAAGACATACATAATTGAGAGATTTCTTTGTTCCAAGCGTGTGTGATAAGAGAAGTTTTTTTTGTGTTGTACAGGAAGGAAAGGCTGAGCGGAGACGAATATAAAATTCAAATTTTGATGACAAATGACATCAAGAAGCATTGGTGGAGCAGAGAGAGATTGAGAACATGTTTTAATGGTCCGTGGAGCTGCATTACCCTTATGCTTATCCTCTTCTTCACCAGCTTCCTCGTTACCTAGAAAGGAAGGGGAAGGAGCTGTCATACAAACACAAGCATGAATGTGAAAAATGCACGCTATTCATATCTGGAAAACAAAGCAGCGATTCACACTATTCATCAGTGCTCATCTTCTCTCTGTAAATGACTATTTTTAGTAAAGCTGACATCACATTTTACAAAGCACATCACAACAAGATATGTGGAGATATTACATTTATAATATGATATATAACATGGTATCAGGTGCTGGCCTTTCACAGAGATGCTTCTTATAATAAGTATGACTGGTTCCAAGAAGCTGCAAAGATTCAGGTTGGAATCTTTTGACACACCTACTTACAGTAATCTTGCTATGTTGAACTCTGGTATTTATGGAAAATTGGTATGAAGGTCATGTTTAAATAGCTTAGAAGTGGTCCATTTTTTAGGGGACATGATGAATGAAGATTAAGATAAAATACTCTTGTATGAGACTAAACTAAACGTCCTCACAATGAATCGTTAGGATGGCAGCATCATGCTTGTTTAGAATATTAATGTCTCTAAAGATAACATCAGAACTAAAAGCCCTAACCTAAATCCAACTGAGAATCTGCAACAAGACAGATCTTGGTGTTGACATTTGCTTTCGAACTAAATTAACTGAGCAAAAGCTATTTGGAAAAAAAAGAAAAATGTTCAGGCTTTGTTTGTGTTTGTTTCAGGCTGTCTTTGTGTTTGTGTTATACTGGTAATTACTGTACATGCACCTAATAAAAAACTGAAATAGCCCCAAAAATGTAGTTCTACAAAGTGTTGCTTTGGGACGGCTAAATGCGTACAGTTCACATACCAAACCTCAGCTTATTTTTTTTTCAGAAAACAAAAAAAACATCTGCGTTATGTGTATTGTGTTTAACAATCATTCACAACTTCATGTGAGTTCTATCAGATAAAGTATTAATGAAACACATTAAACTTCCTGACTTTAATGTGATAAAATGTGAAAAAGTTTAAGGGATATGAATATTTTTTATGACACTTTAGGGTACAACAGCTGTAGTAGTAATTGTAATGTGAAGCCTCCCTTATTTAAAATACATAAAAGCTCTATGATTAATGGATCATGTGACAAGTTTTAAAACCCAGTATATAATGTTTGAATTAGACTTAGATGCCCAGTTTACATGCATATCATCACCCCTTTTAACTCAAGAGATGCATTTTCATCTGGTTACCAACTTCTAATAATAATAACCTTCTGAAAAATGTGGAAAATATGCCAGCACGTTTTTAATAAAACATTAATCCACCATCCTATCTGTTACTCTCATCCTCCTTGTCCCTTTACTTGCTCTCACACTTTCCCATTTACGCACACACATAAACCAATGACATTTGGGACAAATTGAGTAAATGAAAGCCATGACACCAATAAGAGAACATGCTTCACAATGACTATTGTGCAGCTTCTATAATTGCTTTTTTAACAAGCTGCAGCGAGAGGCCATTTTTTCATATCTATGCAATTTTGCAATGCACTCAGAACAATAAAAAATGCCAGCCTCTATTAAATGGGGGAAAAGGCCAGTCCTAGCAGTGCCACATGTTTTTCCCAAGTACCTCTGTCCATCACATAGAATACCAGTGACACACAGATGGCAGTGGTTTGTATTAATCATGATTGGCATTTTGAGGGGGAACCACAGGCAGGGGGCTGAAAAGAATACTTCACTGGGGGGAACTATAGAAGAATAATTCTTTATAAGCCTCAAAACCATCCTAAACCTTCCCTCTGTGTCAAAAGAAAAGATATTCATGCTTTTCTAAAGTGAGTTATATTAACCATATCAGATACGTCAAAGTACCAAAAGTAATTTCCTCCATGTTATTTGATCATTTGTGTTTGGCTTATTGAATGGAACAATATTCTATTTGTGATAAAGGATGCAAAGGGACAGATTGTGGATTCACACACACACAAACCCACAGACACTCACACATTTGCAATGTCAAACAGAAAAGATTCTCTGTAGGGTTGATGTGATTGTTTATGGATCCAAGTTAGAAATGAAAACCCAGACATACACAAGTAGGCTAAAACCTAACCCAAACGCTCCTAACAGCAGGTGGCAGCATTGTAGTAGCCAATGCATACTATATGACACTGTCTCAGCTGTGGATCAGTTTCTTACATACTTCACATAGAAGGCTTCAGCAAACACCACAGCATATCCATTGTCAATACATTCGTGAAACCAGATTTAGGGGATAGTAGTAGTAAAAAAAACATACTTTTAAGCACTTTATTGCACTCTTGTATATAAAAAAGAAAGCAGGGGCGTATTTTAGAGAAAACCACAAAAAACATGCTAACTCTGAATGATTTATTTATGTTAACATAAGAGGTGGCAGGATTACAAGGACATTAATAATGCAGTTCCTGATATACAACATACCTGGTGCGTCCTACTTGTGTGACCGCTGAGTAAACAACTGCTGATGATACGTTCAAGGTTGTCAAAGTGGTATTTTTATTCAACAGTGAAGATATATATTAAGTATGCATAAATTAATATAGCGTTGTGAAAAAGCATGTCTTTAAAAACTCTCCTGGTCTTGTTCTTGCTGTTGAAACAAAAATATTGACCTTCACTGCAGTAAGTGTGGCTTGACATGCTTTAGATGTTGTTCTAAGTTTTTTTGTGACCCCCTTGTTGACCTGTCAATGTGGAAGGAGCTTACAGCAAATGTAAACATTTTCCATGTTTTCTCCCTTCGCATACAAAAGCTCTGATTGTGGTTCACCAAAAGACAAAAAAATGATCTTGTAATAAATCTGTTTCTTTGTGAGAACTGACAATGCAAAATGTGTTTAATGTCCTGAAAAACGTTTCACAGAGTTCCTTGGTTTGGATAGCTTTTCTTCATTGATAAAAAAGATAATATGAAAACAATATTTTTCATTTATTAATGGCCGAAAGGTTTGCTGGGAGAGTTTTTGGCACACTTTATATTGTTAGACAGATACTGGTCAAGTTTCTAATTTTTTCAATTCTAGTAGTAATTTTGCCTTGACGCAGCCAATGAAACCCTATTTATTATATCTGCTAAAAATTACGATTTATAACAGAACTAAGTCATATTGTGTCATGCTCCCTCTGCAGGACCATTTGAAAACAGTACTGTTGCAAACACTGACGGCTGTAGTGCTTACACCTAAGCAGCTGGAAGATGCAGATCACAATCAAATGTCTGCAGAGGTGGGTGGTATTTTACATTATCTAATGTAAAATAGTGTAAAGCAGCCTTCTTTTGCTGGAAAAATGACCCTTATATAAGGCTGTCTCAAGTGACTTGTTTTTTAATTGCTCTCATAAGATGATTCATCCTCTCCATGTTTTATAGAGTAGCTGCACACTAAAAATCAATTTTTTTTTGATGTCACAATAGAGCATTTATGAGTCCAGTAAAACAATGCCAGGTTTGGATCTGTTTTTATCCTTGTTTCTCTTTGAGGAGTAAATGCTTGCCCAAATTCAACCTTGTTAGAGTCCAGTCCTGATCCGATTCATGATTTCTATTCCTTTGCTCTTCGGACAGAGGTTTTCTTTGCCCTTTATGTTGGCTGCGACACATCATAAACCTCTTAAACAAAAAACTGTTTAATAATAACCTGGAGGTAGCGCAGTGAAATGTGTTGTAACTGAAGCCAGTGGGTTTATACTGGACTGCCGTAAAGCTGTTTATTAAGCCGCGAAAATGACAAAGCCACGAAACTCCTACTGAGGTCGGAGACACAGAAAGTTGCAAGTGTGGTTTTCCGATCAGAGCCAGTAGGAGGAGATAAGAGACCTCTCAGTCGTTTCATAAATACTAGAGTTATTGTCACAGGTACTTACTGTATTGTAGAAGAGGATTTTTTTAAAGGTGAAAATTATAATTAATGCTGCTTTAATGAAGGATGGTAATTAAATTTAGGTTTAGATCACTTTTACCCAAATATTTAAATCATTATAGAAAATGCATTTTATACTGTATTTACTTACATTATCGCCTGATGATATAAAACGTACTTCAGAGTGATACGTTTTCACAGCACTGTGATCTAACTCATCATGTTCCACCCCATAGACTTGTCAGTTGTTTCTTTGATTAAAACCACTGAAGCAAAAGACATAAAAAAGATCCTAAAAAATTCATGAGACATGTAAAAGTTAAAACAACTCTTAGATGACCTACAGCAATCATTCTGAGACCTTCTGCATGTGAAATCTGTCTGCAAGCAAAGTGCAAGTTCGCTTGTGAGCAACGTTTGACAGGCAGCCACAATGTAAAGCATGGCATCCCATAGAGAGGCTGGCTGTCAGTCCACACAGTGTTATTAATCTACATATCCATCCACACCAGTAGAGAGATGTGTGATCCTTCACCACCAACCCCCATTCTCTACCTTAGGTTATTCTCAGCATGCTCCCAATGCCAGGCATTGATTTCTGGCTCCACTTTCACATTTTACTGTGTCTTGCCCTGTGACATCTACTAATCTCACTAATTCCAATCTGATATCAGATAATAGACACTGTGAGGTGTACTAAAAGAGATTTTATTTCACTTTAGACCTCTGTGCCAGCATTTGCGCCTGTGGGTGGCCCACCATTTCCTTCCCCCCACTTTTATTTATATAACCTGAAGTGTATGCATGCTGTTCTGATGTTACATGTGGATTATATCACAGCACAGCTCATTGGACACAGAAACATAGTTGATCTAAGACAATATTTTTCAAATTCCTTAGATTACTTGGGTTTTCATACATTTGCTGCATGCATTCCATTATTTATGCCCTTAAAATTACTTATATTATTGTTTTGTGGTATAGTACAATATAGTCTCGTAAACATTATAAAGGATGATAAAATATTACAACAGAAATTGAAATACTGTGCAATATTTGTCATATTATATTTTTACTTATATAATAAGTAAAAACCATGCAGTACATTCACCCTATCAACCCTATCAATTTACTTTTTTATGTCTATTTGAAGGTTGCAGAGACAATAAATGGTTTATGGCAAGTAATATAATTTTGTAGAATTTCTCCTGCTTTTTGTCAATTTTTCTCGTTAAAAGTGGTATAGTTCATTTAAATCCTGTGAATCTGGTTTCTCCATTCCAAGTCCAGTTCTGATGTGTGTCCGGGATCAGTGCTCTGTTTAAAATTCAAGTGCCCAAGTTTTTAACCCATAATAGACTCAGGTATGCTAAAACGCATATTCAAAATCAACTTATAGGATGTTGACCAAAAAACAGGCTCCTGCTTTAAAATGCGTATAAAATACCATCCAGCTCAAAGGTCCATCAAGTAAGCTGCCGCTCCAATTGCCCAAAATGTTAAATGACATTTCCTCTATTTACAGTAGTTGCCTCTTTTAGCTCCATTAGTCAGTTAATAAGAGAGTGACTTGGGTTCGATTCTGGGTGTACATGTGTTTGATGAGCTGCTCAGTCTCATCCACCTGGCTACGTTGTTGAGTCTCCACCAGGCAACTTTTTAAAAACTCTTTCTTACCTCAGGTGACGTTACTCCTTAAAACAAAAGACTACACTTTCATTCTCCCATACAGTACGCATACAGAACACTAGTGTAATTTCAGCTTGTGGTTAGAGGGTAAAAACGTCAGCAAAAGTATAGGAAACGGTGCTATGCTCCTTTAAAGCTGGACTAAACTTTTTGGCCACAATGGCAGTAGGAGATCAGAGGAGTCAAAATTTCCGACATAAGAACACTAGAGAATAGATTACTAAGCATATAGGTGGTAACATCAGGCTGAGGGTCCATGTTGACTCCCAGTGGGTACTGGTGCATTGCACAAAGAAGTGGATTAATAAAGCTGGTAATTAAATCAACAACTAAATGGCTGAAAGTTTGACACAGCTGGGCATTTGAACGGGACAATGATCACAAACACACATGAAAACTGCTTTTGTAATGAATAAAGCAGGGAACCATTAGGGGTCTGGAATGGTCTGACCTAAATCCTGATGACAATCCTAGAAAACCAATTCTATGTTTAAATAAGAAGCAAATATATAGAAGCTCTTTCAATTCTAATCAGAGTTTTTGTCAAACATTGCTGAGATATACACCAAAAGCTGATGACTAGAAAAAGGGGAAGGAGAACATTTAAAGAGTCCCTATCAAAATATTTTTGTGGATATAAGTACAGTATATCAGAATCAGAAATAATTTAATAATCCCAGAGTGAAATTACTTTTGTTACACGCTCCTGTTACAGTTTTATATATACAGTACTGGTCCTTATATGTTTAAACTGGATCATGAGGGGACGTGATAACATTCTGGAAAAATTCTCATTAGGCACAAAGTTCTTGCAGCTTGTTTAGTATTTGAAAAATACTTGAAACAGGATATATTATAGTTTTAATACAGATTTGGAATCAGAGGCAGCCTTTTTTAGACTACAGTAATATCACTGAATACATTTCATTACAACCATTCATAACATTCACAAGGGAAATTAAACGCAAAGTATGATAAAGGCCAATGGCAGATTTTGATCTCAAATTATTTTCATTAAGCCATATTTTTTTTAAATAAGAAGTGAGAAATAGATCTCACAAAATAATACAACAATTTAAAACTGTCTCACCTAAAAAAAGTACACTATCGAAAATGCAATGTTGAGAGATTATTTATGCCCTTTATAAAAATAAATGGAGTAGGATATAGGATTTTTATAGGGTTTAAGGGTATAAAACCTTTTTTTAATTTTTGCCCAGCTTCCTGGATCTTTCCAGAGATACTCTGAAAATGTAACACCTGTGATTTTCTCTGTCCTCAGGTTTGAAAGACCTTCCCGCCATCTTTAGCTCATTTTATAGACTTTCTATCAGACCCATTCAGACTCTGACTGGATTTCTTTTGTGTTCTTTATGTAGCTGAATTTCATAGTTTGCTGGGTTTTTATTATTACCAGTTTCTTCCTTTAACCCAGGATGGTCAGAAAGGCCTTTGCTTGTAAGGTGAAAAAGTTATTTTATAGGTGTTGTCTATGTAACCAAGGAAACAGGACAGCCCTATAATAACCTACAGTCGTCCTACAGCGAGTTACTCTGAAAGAAACAATGAAGAATACCTCAATACTTTAATAGATGACCTGGTAAAAGGTAAGAGTTTACCCCTTGAGGAGAATGATGGATGTGATAGAGCCACTGTGATATATTGACAGGTACAAGTTTTCCTGCAGTGTAAAAATGTATTTCAAAATAAAAGATCCAGATTGATGATGTCAAGGCAGAAGCCAGCAACAGACAGCAAACAATAAAATACAACTGTGTTTTCAAAGAAGGTAGCTTCCTCTCTGTTGTTCTACAGCATCTTACAGTGCACGTCCCGCACAGCTGACAGTGTGGTTTCCAGCTCACTTTTCCTCTGCTGTGTGGTATCTTGACATCTAAGCGTTTCCTATGATTAATCCCTCCTATGAGCTACATTGAACCAAACCTAACCTTTACAGTGCAGGCAGAACAAAATCATTTGATTCTCTTCCTCTGAGAGAGGTTGTCTCAAGGACTGACTGTTCCCAAGCTAGAAGCTGTGCCAAGGCCTTTTGTGAATGGATTAGTTACTATTAAGCTGCAGGGCCTGATAAATAAGGATTTCTAAAGATTAATACTAAATACTTATGCCCTTCTAATGCTGGTGATTGAATTTTTGAATAATTCTGATTTACAGCTGTGGATTAAAAAAAAAGGTATTGTACATAGAGAAATTAGTTATCATGCTTTGTTTCACAGCAAAAATTGTATTGGCGCTATTCATGTGACTGCAATATCCTAGAGGACCCAGAGGAACAGGTTCCCCAGAGAAAACAAACATGACTGTTAGTTTCAAAAACTTCCTCCAACCATAAGGCTTGAAGAAAAATTGATGGTGTACGATTTTAATTGCCTACTAACACCGTCCAGTGTTGGATTCTAATTATCTTTGGTCCATCGTATTGGAGAAGCCTATAATTGTTTCAACATTATACATCCAAAGGGGCTGAAACTGCAGAATAGCCAGATAATGGCTTCTTAAACAGGTTTGGCTGAAAGAAAAAGGACCAAGCTTCATCCTCTATTCATTTCCCCAAAGAGGAGGTAGGTATCAGAGAGCAAGAGATTACCAAGCAAAAACACATTCCATTAGTTTATACATGTTTTTTTTTTTTTTTTCTGTAAACACATGTCAATGTGAAATGCTCCCACTACAAGTAAATATGCTTGGCATGCTCAACATTAAAAGAGTTGGAGTAAAAAAAAACTGATAAAAGCAGACACAGAGCTTTAGTAACAAGCTTACCCTTCTTGCTTTCCTCCGTCTCTTCGTTGGTTGTGGACTCTGTTGATGGAGGTATGCTTTCTGTAAAGAAAAAACAACATGTGGTGTTTCAGTGATGTGGGACCGATGCATCTCTTTCCACAAAAAGCAACAAGATGCAACACTTTGTCAGGGCCTGTCGATGTAAACTGTCGCTTGTATTGGAACGGATAAATAAAATTACCCTACCACTCAATCCAAAATTCAATATAGTTTTTTTTTACTTTTCTTCAACTGAAAATACTTTAATATTTCACCCAAAAAACACATCAGCCCCACATATATGAAGTACCAATGTTCTATAGCGTATCTTTAGCAACAGTGGCGTTTTTACATCTCACTTGTCCGAATACTCCCCAGATATTGAAAAAACACCTCATAACAAATCAGAATAGTACATGTAACTTTACCTTCTAGTTAGAAATGCAATGTTACAAAATAAGGTTGTTTTATATCGTGAAACCAAATAAAAGGAGAGAATTCAAATACTTCCTAAAACCTCTATAAAAATCTAATTTTCCTCACTTACTGTAGTTCAGAAGCAGAGTACAAACAGATTTTACAAACAAAAATTAAAAACTAATAGATGGGCTTAGATTTCCTTGAAAAATGCTTTGCTTCATGTGTATCTCTGCAAATGGTTACAGTATTAACATTTTTATGAAGTGAAGTTCTAATCATACTGACAGGGCATTTAAGCTTTAATGTTCCATGTAAAATAAAACTTTAAAAGTTATCATTAGTTGCTTTCTACTTTCCAAACATTTTGCAATCACAAATAAATTTGGTTCTCTTAAACGGTTTTGTTAGGAGAAGGTAAAATATGTGGCAAAGTCATATTTAAAAAAAAAATTGAACCTGAGAGCTATAGCGCGTATTGTTTTCTGTCACCAAAAGTTTTAGCCACCATTAAATAAAAAAAAAGGATTTTTGGGGTAGTCCGTGTGGATAGATGTAGCAAAAGGCTTCTTAGGGCATTTCTCTTGGATAGATCTAGATATTTATTAGTTGCTGAACAGTAAAAGCTAAACATAAACCTGCATTTAGTTATTTAGTTGAGATTTTTTTATTTAACAAAAAAGGTTGCAGCACACTTATAGCTGCCCAGCTGCTTCACTAGCCTTATTAGTCTACCAATACTTTGCTCTGTTAATAATTCCACCTGCTGTACAAATTTCAAAAATGTATGAATTGTGGGAAAAAGAATGTTTTCACAAATACATCCAAAGCTTTGTTGTTATTTCCCAACACTTTCGCAGCAATCTCTCATACTGAGCATGCATGGGAAGATTTTCTAGAAAGTATTTACCATTTTTTAACAATTTAACTAACAATATAGTACGGTTTTGTTTAAAATAAAAAAAATTTACATCTTAACACAGGGTTTTGATACCAACACTCTCTTGGCTGCTTGAGTTACATATGCCTCTGAGAAATGTTACAGCTCTCGTCTGTGGTTTTACCTGCCTAAAAAAACGCATTAAAAAGGAGACTCCTGAGGGAGAGGAGGAAAGAATGAGGCTTTGAGCCCATCTCCAGACCGCTGTGTGAGCCAAAAGCACCACTCCATGTTAGCATAAAAGTCTTTCGAAGCTTTGAGTCGGTTCCAGGCTTACTGATTCAAACTTGGGCTGATGGAGTGGAATGAAAAGCCCATTCTTGGCATCCATAAAGAGGGAAATCAAACAAGGCCAAACTGGAATAGGACAGAAATGGTATGATAACACAAGAGAGCTAGGAATGATCAGGAATTGTTTCAGCTGGCTTTTTACAGTCTAATGTTATGTTATTATGGAGTATGCAGTGTAAAACAGCTGGTGAGGAGCTCTTTAGAAATAACATAGCCTGTTTAAACTAAAAATCTCACATGCATTTGGTCTGAGCCAAATCTTTATGATGCAGCCATTATGTGCGCACAGTTTCACTTTGAAATATCACATTTTACAGTGCACTTATGAAACAGCTCTTTTATGTTTGTCCTAAAATGGATTCACTTTGAAAACACAGATGTGTGTAATTGGCAAATCATGGGAGTGACTTTGGGAAGAAAAACATTTTGATAGCACCCCGAGCTACCCATTTAGTGTAATGTGGCCACTTTCTCTAACAGACAGCAAAACTAATGTGGTTCTCTGCCTTGTTGGGTTCACGTGTGCAATGAGATTTTAAAAAGCACAGGCAGTGGTCAAATTTGTATCTTCTCCCCGATAAGAGAAAATGCCATTAGGTGCAACATACCCCAGAGAGCAAACTGCTGGAGGCAGAAAGCTGTTTTCCATTGAAATAACTCTTTTCCAGAGTGACAACAAACTCATAGCTAAACTGTTCTGAGTCTATTGTTTAACCACACACACAATTCCATGAGGCATTTTGTTTGTGCCACTGCTTATTCAGGACATCAGTGCACAGATGAATGTCAATAGTTTATCCCGATAAGCAACATCTGGGAGTTTCAGGCTAGGCACCACATGATGTGTTGGAGATAAAAGCATCATGCACTGACAGTTGTGTTTGTGCTATCATCTGGCTTATGCTGTGGAGGGATGTCAATCCGCAGTTTCTTTGTCACCCGCTTTAGGTGGTCTAAAGGCATTGTAGCCCTAAGCCGGATGAAGGGAATGTTTTCGGGGAATTAGCTCTGGATAACGGTTCTTGTAGTGTAACGCACCTGACATTAAGTATTTTACACAAAGATGAGTCAGGTCAGGGAGTCGGCTTGTCAGCAGATGAATAAACATTCAATTTAGACTGCCGCATAAAACCTTGCAAAACACTGTCAGAAGCCAAAGCTATGGTGCTCACTCACTCTCTGTCTGCTTTAATGGAGGTGTTAAGGTGAAAAGGCAACCATGAAATATTCTGTCACTCACCTTCCTTCAGCTGCTCCTTCTCATCCTCAATGTCATCATCTGGAAACGGAGGGAAATTAGAATGTTAAGGCACGTTTTTGGAAAAATTATACAACCTGTGATCGTAAACTGATAGCAATGCTAAAGGAAAGTATTTTCATACTTTCAAATGTGTTAATTTTCAAACTATAAAGTTATAGCCTATGTTTGGATCTAAATGTATTTACCAGTATGCAACATTTTCTGTATTACTTTTTTTGTCAAACTTATACTTTTCAGTTCCCCTTACACATGTTATTATCAGACATAGATAACTTGCATAAACACAAAAATACAGTTTTAAATGAATTTAATTTAGTAAGTATAAAAAAGCTTTTACAGGGGTGCATACTTGAGAAGCTATGTTAAAAAGATTTTTGCACCATGTTTTTTTTCTCCCACACTGTTTACATTTGATCACTGCTGTACTGCTGGAAATGTTCTAAAAGCTGTACAAAACAAAATTTTGTTTTATATTCACTCTGTGTAAACAAAATGACAATAAAAGTTGCCTAAGTCTAACATGCTGAGCCAATGAGAACAGAAGCTTCTCCAACCTGAACCAGAGATTGAATAAAACAAGTGCCAAATATTGGGAACATAACTTCAGTATAATCTCAGTTTACTTGATTGAAAACTTGTCAAAAACCCTCCTGTTACCATATCACATTAGGTGCAAAGCTCAAAAATCTGAGAGGCAGGTCTGCCTGCAGACCTTCACTGTCAGAACTTAGAGCTGCACTGTCAGGACCCTGGCTGCAGGGCTGCATTGTGAGGTCTCCTGCGCTGTTAGAACCGGAAGTTTTTTCGGAGACTTTCAAAGTAAAAGTGAAGTTGATTTGAAGCTTTTCTAAAGTAAATGCTAACATTGATAAACTCCCCATTAAGCTAGTTTCCTTTCACAAACAGGTTTTGTAATGCTGGAAAGTTATGTATATGCACAATTTTACTCCCCACCAAACTCCTATCTGCAATAATAGATATGTGCAGTACTCGAGTTGAGGGGGAATGAGGGGGGATGGCATCCTCCTTCTTAAAAAAATCTTAACAATCATCCCCCTTCCTAAATGACCGTCCCCCAATACCATCGCCTCTGGAAGTGGCTTAGTGGCTTAGTATGACTATGAAGCTGATCCCAGTGAGAAATCTGCATTAGTCCCTAACTACGCAGGGGCAGTGATAGCAATGTCAGTCCAGGGACTGACTGTCAATGACCAGCGTATCTGACATGTAACAACCATACCATGCATATTGCTTTAGGTTAATAGATTAATTAGGCTATGTATGCTTCCAAAGAAAAAAAAAATCACTAACCCCCTTCTTTTTTTTTTTTTTACAACTAGACTACTGGATATGTGTTACACAGAAATAAGTCTCTAGAATAGAAAAGGGTATTTGGCCTACAGTATAAGACATTTTCTAAACAACAATGGAGCTTTGTTGTCCTATGAGGATGTTTGCGTACTGTATAATTTAAACCGCTGCTATGCTCAGTTTGACACTGTCATAAGCTAATCCAGCAGCAAACACGTGCTGCGCGCAATTCCCGAAGGCTTCGAATACAACTTCCTGAATAAACTCCCAGTCCTGATAGTGCTGGAGACCCCATTTTGCTGGTCTGCAACACAGAGCCCTGACAGTGCAAGTCTGGGTCCTGACAGTGCAGGTCTGCAGCCAGACTCTCTTGAGTAATCCCAACTCCTTCTAATAACCCTCCTCTATTTTCCATCAGCCTTTAGAAGAGCCACTTTTTATGACAAAATATTAAGTATGTTGGTATTTCATTACGGAGGTCACAATACAGAAAGATTCTTTCCAATTAAGTACAGTTTTGAAGACTTTGCATAAAACAATAAAATAAAATCCTGAAAGAACTGCAGGCTGGCCTGAACAATTGTGGATAAAAAAAAAAAAAAAAAATCCTTTGATTTCTACTAACTCTGCTGTGAGAGAGAGAATTTGAGGTGGGTTAAAGGTGTCTCTGGATGAATAAGTTGAGTCGCACTGCAGGAGATGAGAAGCAGGCTTTGGGTGGTGCTTCTGGAGGACTGAGTAATGAGAGACAAAGCTGCTGGTTCTTTCTTAAATACATTCCAATGCTCAGATCTTATAGAGCACAGTATGCCTCAAGGTGCGTTGTGTCATGCCAAAACAGTTTATGTGCTTGCTTTTTCTAACAACAGTTCATATTAAGGAAGCATGTACTTTTTGCAAGGAAATATTCCTGGTATATATTTATATATGGCTGATATGAATCAGAAACTGATTGTACTGTGGTTAACAAGCAAAAGAGTATGTTCACTTTGATGAAAGGCTGTTGTCATCTGTTCTGTCGAAGTGCAACCATCAGAGCTCCCTGCGGATTCTGCGACAGGCTTTTCTTTTGTACAACACTGAATAAAAGGGTACAGTGCATTAATCTAACCCTGCTCGGGGAAACAAAGGAAGGCCCACTAATACAGTGAACGAAAGGATGGAAAGAAAGGGTGCCTCAACTGCTGCCAAATACTATAGTGTGGTTACGGCAGCCAAATACTTGTACAGGCAGGAAATAGATGTGCCTTGGTCATGAAAAACCATATGTGACGCCTTTGCTTTGTCTCGTTTATTTTTTTAACACCATCTATCATTCCTGCAAAATTATTTCTACAGCCTTGGACCAAAGTATTAAAACTGACAGGGTGCTGCTTCATTGTTACTTGAGCTTTTTGTCAGACATTTTTATTGTATACTAAAGCTAAATATTAAACATTTTATACATTTCAAAGGGTTTTATTTCAATATGGACCAAGGTTTTTCAACACATATTGCACATGTGAAATCACATAAGTGGATTCCATCGGTCACTAACTGTCATGTTGATAGGTACAATCAATTTAGCAACGACTGAGTTAGTTTGACTTATTTTATTATTTTTATGTTATTTTAAGCTTAGTTATCACTACATCCCGATAAGCATAAAATAGGATCACAGTTGGAGGAGTTAAGTGCTAAAAATTGACTAGTGTGGATTGGAAACATCAACTGCAGGGACAAATCTTTAAAAACTGGCAAGAATCTGCTCCAATCACTTTTATTCCAGTAAGCCTTTTGTCATATAGGGTCAGTTTTATGTGCTTAGCTAGCCTGGCCAGCCAGACTGACATACCATGCATACATCATATCAGTCTGGTAAAGAGCTGGTAGAGCTCGATTTCAAAGGAAGGACTAACATCAGAACCATCACTTAACTACGGATTTGACACAAAAACTCCAAGCAACATGCTCCGTTTCTATAATTTTGTAGTTTGTGAAACATATCAAGAAGTCTGAGAAATTCTCCAATGAAGGATTTCTGCTGTTTCTGCAAAAAAATATGACGATATAATGTGTGCCCTCTAGCATGTTCTTAATTTTCATTGCAACATTGCTGTGTTGTGGTCACCGTCTTGCTGTTGCCTTATGGGTAATTCCTGTGCTGAAGTAATGCATCTTTAAGTTCCTGCCTCCTGGGCTGTGATTGGTTCGGCAAGATCAGGCCAGAGTCAACGGAGGTTTAGCAGACTGAATTACGCTCCCTGTAATTGTCTGGCTGGCTAGGCTAGTGCGTAGCCTTACTCTGCAAACTATGAAGGACATTGGAATTATTTAAGGCTCCTACTTACACAAGCAGACTGTGTGCATATTCTGAGTCATGCAGAGTTGTTTTTTTGCCTTTAAAGGTGAGCATACTTTTTTACCTTTCTTTTGATAAATGCCTATACAGTCCTCATAGCCATGGCACCATTGCACAAGTGCGTCATCAAGCTTTACATACAAAGAAATCCAAAGTCAAGATGTGCGCCTTGAGATGTTTCTTTGCCCTCTGGACCTTGTGCACCTCTGCACTGAGGCGAAGAGAGTGGCCGAGACACTGTGGGTCCTTTCAACTGCCTGCTCCAAGCAATGTATTGCTGCTAGAGGGAGCCATGTAAGCGCTGAGTCGCATAATACTTTCTACAGAAATGCTAACTTTTCCATACCTATATATCTGTAGCGAATTCGTACAAAATTTCTACCCAAATGGAAACAATGGTTTTGTCTGTGATACATTTAACAGTGATCTTATGTTTAATCTATATGCCTTTTTTTAATATCCACACAGTAATATACAGTATATGCAAGCAGGAGGTCAGCAAGATAATGATTTGAGTCAGGGGCCATATTATGTCTTGGTTTTGAAAAAAAGAACTCAAATGGATATTTACAGGTTAAAGAAAGGAAGAAACAAACAATTGGGTCATAAATTGGTAAAGGGTCAGTCTGGCCTTGGGTTTGTTCAGTTGCTCTTATTTTGATAGTTGCCATTTTTGTGCAATCTTTGGCTGCTTATGGTGGTTCTGGCCTTTCCAGATTTTTTCTTGAATCTTTATAGTGCCATTAAGTCGATAGATAATTTAGAAACAGAAGTGGTAATAGAATATATATGACCTCGTTGAAGGCAAGCAGACTCACCAAATGTTATTGTAATAGGAACAAAAAAGGAAATTGGTTTTAATGATTTCGTATTGCAGTGTAGTTGCTGCAACAGTGAAGTTTTTTTACAAAGAAAAATACAGATATAAATCTCATTTTTAGGTACCAGGTAGAAAAAATACTGTATGGTGTTTTTTTTAGGTTTTTAACTCAGCAAGAAATATATTAGACTCACAAAGAATATTGGGTTATATAGCATAGAACAATATCATATTACAAGAAACATAAAATAAACCTTTGTTAAAAAGGATTTTCCATTAAAAAACAATTTCTACGCAGATGTTTTTATTCCGTCTGTTTATGTTAAAACTGAACTGTACTAAAGCAGAGCACAACCAGTAAGAAATCCTGTCAACACAACAGTGAAATGCTGATAAGGAAATATTCAGGGTAAGTTTTCTACATGTCTGGTTTATGCACAAACATGAACATTTTTTACTGATACCACACTGAAGTGGAATCCTCATGCTGCCGAGAGCTGAGCCTGTGCTTTCTCACAATCACATCACTAACATACCACGGTTTCC